GAAGGTAGTCATAGACGAGCGACAAAAGAGATACGAAACAGGTAGGTGAGAGAGAGAGAGAGAGAGTGAGTGAGTGTGGCATTCGCAAAGTCGTCCGGGGACATTTCTATCGAGAATTTCGATCCGTAGTCGTTTTCTCGTCTCTCGGATAGGCTACCATCCCTCTTTCCTCCTTCTCCTCCTCCTCCTCCTTCTCCTCCTCTTCATCTTTCTCTTTCTCTTCGTCTGCCTCCTTCTTTTATCCTTCACCTTTTGCTTCCTTTTGGTTTTACCGTCAAATTTGTTGAACTATAGATACAATATCTTATGTTTAAATTTAGAAAAAAGTCTCACTATATAATAATACACATTATTTTGTTTTTAAATATTATTTGCAATATCGAATTATAATTGTCATTTAATAATATCATTGTCATCAATTATCTCATCGTCATCGTTATCTCATCGTCATCATTTTCATTATTTTTTTATTTATTTTTGTTTGTTTGTTTTCTCTTATTATTCTCATTTGTAACGCCAAACGTAACAAATTTTTTCTCTTTTTTCTGTCTTTTTTTTTTTTTCTTTTTTTCAAACTTAACATTATAAATTAATAAATAAATATATATATGTATATGTATATAGATTTTTTTTTTATATGTGTGTGCCATGTGTATATATATATATATATGTTATAATTTTAATTTGTATATAAATGCGTGTAATTTTTGTTGTTGTTTTGTTTTGTTTTGTTTTGTTTTGTTTGACTTCTTGCCATTTTCGCATAGAGTATGTTTTTAATTAATATTCATTGTGTATACGCCTAACGATGAAATTTGTATATAACTATTAATATTATTAATAATTTTATAAGTATCATATTATAATTATTATTGTTATTATTATTATTATTATTGTTATGAATTATTATTATTATTATTATTATAATAATTATTAATATTATTATTGCTTTAATTTACAAATCTGTCGAAAAAGGACCTTTCGCAACAACGCCCGCAACAACATTGTGGCGTATTAAACGGACTGCTGTTTATTTTTTTTTCTCTTTCTTTTTGTTTAAATATTACGCGTGGATTACTAAACTTAAGTTTTTTTTTTGCTCCCTTTTAAGCGTGTATTTCCTGCCAAAAAAAACCCCAAAAATTCGGCTAAAGTTGACCAATATTCTCGTCAACGGAGAATTGATTCTATGAACGCGACATCGTTTATGTTTAATTAATATTATTATTATTACTATTATTATTATTATTTTATTTTATTTCAAAAAATTTGTTCACTCGATCAGATCAAATAAATCGATATCGCGTTCTCGATCGTTTAATGTATTACAAATATTATTATCATTATTATTATTATCATTATTATTATTATTATTATTATTATTATTATTATTATAAATGTGGGTGATTCGATTCGATATTTCGTATGATCAAAATTCATCAACAACGTAGTTCATTCTCATCTTTTTGTATATTTCCGTGTTAAAATGATCTTACGTTGTTATATAAAATTTTTGGCAGGATCGTATATGTTGTTTTTTTTTTTTTTAGTATTATTTTCTTTTTTCTTTTTGAAAAAGTAACGCGTGTTAATAAAGCAAAATATTTTTCGACATAAGGTATCAATAAATCGTCGTTTTCTTCGTGTTTAGTATCGAATTGGGACGACGAAGTGAATACGCTTGAGGTAGCCGATCGTTCATCGAGAAATCTTCTTCTTCTTTTCTTCTTCTTTCTTTTTCTTCTTTTTTTGGAAGAAAAAGATTTCTTGATTTTCAACGATTTTCAACGAACATGTTATGTAGATAAAAAGAAGATTAGTGATAAATAGTTCTACAGAGATTTAAACATAAACCCCAACAACAAAAAAACATATATATATATAAAGAGAAAATAGAAAAAGAAAGAGAGAGAGAGAGAGAGAGAGTAAGAGAGTGCGAGTAAGAGAGAGAGAGTGAGATAGAAATAATCTAATCTTCCTACACATTCTAGACAGGTTTTGAAACGGACAAACGAGTATAGATAAAAAGAGATAGAAACTAGCTGTCTCATCACCAACACCCCCCACTCCACACCCCACCACCCCCTCTCCTCTCTACCCGGTCTCCCACTCACTCACTCACCCCCCCTCTTCTCTTCTCTTTCTTTTCTACTATGTTGCTTTGATCCAACCAATTCGCCTAACTTTAAATTGCAAAATGAACGTTTGTTAGGTGCGTTGCACTCGCGTCCGAACATTCTATCCATCCATCCATCCATCCATCCATCCATCCATCTATCCATCTATCCATCCATCTATCCATCTATCCATCCATCCATCCATCCATCCATCCATCCAATCGAGAGCCAGTTTCGACTTCGATAGCTAGCTTTACGAAAATAAATACGAACGGCACAGCTTTTACCCCTCTCTACTTTTCGATTTTTATCGTACGCGCGAGATTAGTTCTTATTTTTGCTTATTGTGATTTTTAATTTTTCTTCGTTTTTTTTTTTTTTTATTTAATTTTTTTCATTTTTTCATTTTTYTTYTTTYMWWTTYCYTKTTTTWTYTTTYTTTTTYWTTTTYTTTTYWATATAATAATGTACAACGATGTTTATCAAATAATCGTCCATGTTGATTCAAAAGTCATCAATTAATATTTATTTATATTATTTTTTTGTGTTATTGTTTGTAACAAAGTGAAATTTTTAATTAATGAGAAAAATTGAAATTTCTTTCTTTTTTTGTGTTAACCCTTCTTTTTTTTTTTAGTAACAAACAATGACATATATATATCGTTGTTAAACAACACTTGAGAAAAGTACCAATGATAATATTATATTATTAATGATTTTTAGAGAAATATTATTATTATTTTATTATTGTTATTATTAGGATTTTAAACAAACAATAAAATACATTCGTCGTTTATTTTTTTTTCTTCATTCGTTTAGTAATCTGTTAATTTTTGGAATTATTGTTAATATCATTGTTTTATTTTTATATTTATTATATTTATTTTATTGAATACTATTAAATTACATTAATTTATATATGTTAAATTGGTATTCTTCTTCTTTTAGGTTAGAATTTTTTTCAATCTGCATTAAAAGGGTTAATACTTTCACACAAATATTCTCACGCATGTTATTATTAATACTTTTTATGAAATAATTATTAATAAATACGAAAAATATTATTTTCTCATGAAAAAATAAATGAACATTTTATTCATGATTTTTGATTTAACATAGACGATATATTTATATTTATATTTTTTAATATATTTATATTTTTATATTTATATTTATATATTGTATATATATATATATATATATACATGTTACTGTTAAAGTGTAAAATCTGTTAATTCATGAAATAATAATATTAACCAATTAAAGCATGAAAAAAAAGTAAAATTACATACAAGTATTATAAGAATTCATTAGAGATGAATAATTTTACAAAGGTGTATATCAAATTTCAACTTTATACTTTAACCTTAATTATACCACACATCTTTTGTAAATTGTATATTTTATCCAATTGTCTATTTTTTTTTTTGGAAAAAAAAACAACAATTGTACAGTTTAACAAGTGTACCATAAAATACACTTTTAAAATACACAATTTCCCTTGAAAAAAAGAAAAAAAAATAACAAGTCAAGTTTACTTATTTCGAAAGAGGATCTGAATTTTTCATGAATTCATTGAATTATACATTTTAACGTTAACATATACATATATATATATATATATATATATATATACATATATAGTATATATGTATGTGTTATTTTATGTATACGTTGTGTGTGGATTATGCTCCCTCAATTTTTTTAAGAATGCATCCTAGTTATACTACCGGCGCAATTACATATCTCGGAAGACATTTCATTTCATTTTATTTCATTTTATTTCATTTCATTTCATTTCATTTTTTTTTTGTTCTTTTTTTTTTATTTCGTTTACCTTTTTGCATAGAATTTGCTACTCCCGGTACAAGAGTGAAAGAGACAGAGAAGAATAGTAGATGATAAACGAGAGAAAGAAAGAAAAAGAATGAAAAAGTAAAAGAGAGAGAAATAGAGATAGATAAAGAAAGAGAGATAGAGAGAGATAGAGATAGAAAGAGAGAGAGAGAGAGAGAGAAAATTCATGGTGTTACGTCATCGAGTACACCGATCGATCGTCTTCGAAGAGAGATGGAAGGAAAAATCGTGAATTGCTGTTTTTTTTCCTGATATACGTCGAGCCTTTGACCGGAACTACTGCAACTTTGTTATACTCTGACACTACTACTATTACTAATACTACTATTACATATACTACTATTACTATTGCTACGTGAAATCTAGATTTTTCTCGTTTTTAAATGTACTACGATGACTAACGATATTTTTCTTCTCTCTTCTTTCTTCATGTTAATTTACATTCATCTAAAAAGTGTAATACAAAAGTAATACAAAAAATTGAAAAAACAAAAAAAAGAAAATATTATTATAAAAAAAATAAAAAAAAAAAAACCAATTAAATACCTACGTAAATATAATATCTGTAATAATAATAATAATAAATAAAAATCAAATATGTATGAAAGTTAGATGATAACGTTTCCATTCGGATATGGTTTTAAAGGATGAAACGAATATTTTCAGAAAGAAACAAAAAAAAAACAAAATATACATTCGAAATATCAAGTAATGAATGTAACGACATATTCGATGAGTCTCGCAAGTCCGATATAATCGATATTCGATATCACATATCGTATCGTATTGTACTCGTCCGATCGTCCAAGTGTCCTTTTCCAAAATTTTCTTTTCTATACCCGCGTTTACAATCAACTACGAGAACGACAAAATAATATCGAAATAAAATAAAAAAAAAAAAAAAGCAAAGATAATAAAATCAAAATAAATGAGAAGTGGGAAGGGGGGAGTGGGGGGAGGGATATATAAAAGTAAAAACGAATACAAAAATAAACTCACAAACAAAATCAAACTTTTAGTATTGATATAAATACGTATATAACATACATATATATATATATATATACATATACAAACACACGCGTACGTAGTGGTGTTGAGAGAGGGAGGAAAAGAAAGAGGATAGGGGTAGGGGTAGGGGTAGGTAAAGAACACACAATATGTACGTATCGACGAGTTATCTCAGACATTCCCAAACGAGTAAGTTCGTTCTCGGAAAGATCGAAGAAGCGCAGCTGTTCTCGTCGAACGAAACGACCAGAGAAAGAGAGAAAAAGAACTAGGGGAAGAAAGAGAGAGAGAGAGAAAGAGAGAGATATTTGTTGGAAAAGCGCGATTGGAATCTCGATTTGGTCGAGATCATTCTTAACGTACAACGGAATCAAGAAACTCTCTATCTCTTTCTCTTTCCTACCTTCCCTCTCCCTTTCTCTTTCTCTATTTTCTCTTTCCTTGTTTCTCACTCTCATCTATCCTTGTTCTATCCCATCTATCTCTATCTCTCTGTTCATCTCACATACACTTTCATTTGATTTTTCATTTAAACGAAGACAACGTGAGGCTTGTCCGGAAGCGGTGGCTCGTAATCATAATCGTAATCATAATCGTAACCATAATCGGCATGTTGTACGTTCATTCGTGTATTCTGCATACGATAAAGGGATAACATTTCCGGTGGTTCCTCTCGAAGACCAGTTACATCCGCTACAGCATAGACACCTTCGTCTAAGGGTGGTTGTTGTTGATGCTGTTGTTGATGTGGTAGTGGTATTGGTTGTTGTTGTTGTTGTTGAAGTTGTTGTTGTCTTCCATGAACACCGGGTATGGAGTTAGATGGTTCCATAACTTCTAATCGTCGTTCGGGTCTCGAGTACCTCGGTGTTTCGTAAATGTTGCGATCATTCGATGATCTAGGCACCCTAACAACTGTCTTAGCTCTAGGCGTGTCATAAGAAGTGTCCTCGTGTCGTGCTAATAATCGTCTGTTACATGATTCCGCGTTTTTCGTAATATCCTCATTACTTCTACCAACGTAGACTAAAAATTCCGGCCTGTTAGGTGCCGCGTATGCCAAACGTTTCTTCCTTTTGGCTCTGGTAAGATGAGCTATCAAAGCCAGGATACTGGCTGTTGCCGCGAGGCAACCAGCCGCGGACAAGATCAAATATAGTAGACTCAATCTGCAACGTAAGGATCCTTCCGGTAGGGTGATCAGTGGTTTACCGGCAGATTCCTCGTCCGTACAGACGATGTCATTCGTGTCGAGTTCCAATCGCGTCTCGTTACGTTGTTCTTCCGCTCTGATAACGTTCCAGAGCCAGTGCACCGAACAGTTACAAACTAGAGGGTTCCCACCGACTCGTAGCAAAGCTAAATCATCAACTGGAAACTGCGTTGGTTGAAGTGTCGCGAGACTGCAATGACGCAGAGAAACCCATTTTAAATATCTCGCACTGTACAATACACGTCCAGGTAATTCCTTCAATTCACGATTACCGTCCATAGATATACGCTCGAGATTAACATTATCGGCAAATGCTCTAGCATCTATATTCTCGAGCGTGCAATCGTCCAATTCTAAGCTTCTCAGTTCGAAAAGATTGCGAAATGCTACGGGATGTAAAGTAACAAGGGGATTTCGATTGAGGATCAAACTTGAAAGAACGTTTAGTCTGGCCAATGCAGCAGTTGGTACCGATGTCAAATTGTTTCCCGAGAGATCTAAACGCAACAAGCCTGGCAATCGATCGAATACGTCGTCGGCTATACTTCGGATAACATTGTCCGCTAGATTCAACGAGACCAAGGACGGTAAGGACGGCAAAGAGTCTCTGGTTAATTCTTGAATAAGATTTTCCGAAAGATCGACGTTCTCCAGGCTCGGTGCCAAAGCTAAGTTATCGTCTGGTACCTCTAGTAGAGAATTTCTTTTGAGTATCAACGTTCTTATCTTATGTAGATTTTTCATCAGATCTTTTGGCAAACTTGTGATAGAATTTCCACTAAGATCGAGTACTTCCAACTCGCTTGTATACTTAAACGCTTGTTCGTCCATCTCCGTAATATTATTATCAGCCAAGTTCAATTCTCTCAACGATTTCAAACCGTTCAAAGCGTTTTTCGCAATTGTCCTGATCGAATTGAAACTAACGTTGAGTGTTAACAAGCTCGTTTGTAGTGCAAAATTGTCCGTACCTAAAGTACGAATCAGGTTCGAGCTTAAATCAAGGCTCTCCAAATTACCGTAGAAACAAAATGTCAAGTGTAGGTTAGCGAGCCGATTGTTTGACAAATCCAAATGTCGTATCTCTGGGTTTAGTTGGATTGGCACGAATTCGAGATCCGCGTAAGCGCAGGATGCTTTTAAGGTTTCGTCGTCGCAACGACATTGTGGCGGACAAAAACCGCCCGACATGACGACACTCGTCAAAATGGCGAGTATCGTTATCGCGATCGGCCCCCTTCTCTTCGGCGAGGATCCACGCGATGCCATTCCATATGAGCTTCCTCCCGACCGAAACTGTTCTGAAATCATAATTACAAATTATACATTACTTTTATTATTATTATTATATATTATATATAATTATATTATTACACATATCAATTTATTATTTATATAAATATATATATTAGATTTATTTGATTTATTTTATAATAAAATATAAATATATATTTTTTGATTATTATATATTGTATATAATTATACAATATTATTATATATTGCACATAGAAATTTATTATATATATATATATATATATATATATATATATATATATATATATATATATATATA